TTAAAGCTGAAATAAAAATGATTTATAATGTGTAGCGTTGCTATATTTTTTTCATATTTTCTTTACATCTTTAGGGGTTTTGTTTCTTCATTTTTTGTTTCATTTTTTTACCTTAAAAATAAACTTAAAAAAAAATAGTGTGTGAAAATTTCAAGGCTAAATATGCGAGAATTTCAGAAAAAAAGAAAAGGCAATGGTCTGCAAGAAAAAAGTTAATGATAATAACTTACCATAAAAAAGGTCTTAGTAAAAATCAACTGCAGATAAATTTGGAATAGAACTAAAACAGCTTTGTGATTGGATTAATAATAAGAATAAACTTATTAGCGTGACCCCTTACGTTAAAAAGTTAAATATAGGTACACGTCTAAAATTTCTACATATTAAAGATGAGCTTATAGAATAGTTCACTAAAGCTAAAGGTCAATTAAAAACAGTAACTCGATTTATGATTCAAATTAAAGCATATTTATTAGCAAAAAAAAACATCATACAATCAGAATATCCTAATATAAGAAATGCTAAATTTTCACAAAAATGGGTTAACAGTTTCATGTCTCAGCATAAATTATCAAATAGAAGGAAAACCTCAATTGCATAATGTCTTCCTGAGGATTTTGAAACACCAATGTCATTCAATCTTTCAAGTAATACAACTGTGAAACAATCTGGTTCTAAAACTATATCAATTTTATCTACTGATCATAAAAGATCAAATTTTACTGTTGTGTTAGCTTATATGGCTGACGGGATGAAGTTACCTTCAGTTATTATTTTCAAACTCAAAAAGATTTCCCATAAAGAATTTTCTGAAGGTATAGTAATTCGTGCAATTTCACAAAGATAGATGAACAAAGAAGAAATGATATGATATACTGAAAATATTTGGTCAAAACATTCATAAAGAGGTAGCAATCTAAGATCTCTCTTGATATTAGATTCATTTTCCGCTCATAAAACTGAAGTTGTAAAGAAATGGTTTTTTGAAAAAAATTAATATAGCAATCATTCTGGACAGACTAACTTCCAAATTACAATCACTTGATGTTTCCTTGAATAAACCTTTTAAAGCAAAGGTTAGAAATCAATAAAACTATTGGATAAGTAAGGCAATTAAAGAATACACTTCGTCAGGAAAAATCAAAAGACCTTCTTATTCTTTTGTAGCTATCTAGATAAAAAATAGTTAGGAAGCTATAGATATTAATATGATTTGACATTCTTTTAAGTGTTGTGAAATTTTGAACAATATAAATGGATTAGAAAATACTTTAATTTTTAACTTTGATCAATTAAATCAAGAAAATCTTAAAAGAGATGTTATTCATGATGATGATATTAATGATAGTAATGAAGAAAATAGTAATAATGATATAAGCAATGATGAAGAGAATGATAATGATTATTATCAAGAAAACAAGTAGTAACATATTGTTTATGATTGGTCTCATTAACAATACAATCATATATGACATATAGTGTTCTACAAAAAATCTGATTCAATCTGATCTGATCCAGATCTGACAGATCAGATCGAATTGGATTTATCGAATTCGAATCAGATTCAGATCTAGATTATAATTTGATTCGATTTATCAGATCTGGATCAAATTCAAAATTTGGATTTGATTCAATCCGACAGATTTGGATTTGGATTCAGATTCGATCTGTTGGATTTGGATTTGGATTCAGATCTGATTTGTTGGATTTGAAATAAAAAATGCCGCCCCGAAGTCAGACGCAGCATTTATTATTAAAAAAATTTAATTTTTAATAGATATGGTATTTATTATTAAAAAATTAATTTTTATTAATTTTTAATAACAAAATGCCGTTCCGAAAGTCGAAGGCGGTATTTATTAATAAAAAAGTAATTTTTATTAATTTTTAATAACAAAATGCCGTCCTGAAAGTCAGAGGTAGCATTTATTATTAAAAAAATTAATGTTTAATAATAAATGCCGTCCCAAAAGTCAGATGCGGCATTTATTAATAAAAAAAACTAATTTTTATTAATTTTTTATATTAAAATGCCACCCCGAAAATCAGACATAGCATTTATTATTAAAAAATTCATTTTTAATAATAAAATGCCATTCCGAACGTCAGAGGCAGGATTTTTGTTAAAAAAACTACAAAATTGTTATTTTTTAATATTAAAACGCCGTTCTGAATGTCAGAGGCAGATTTTTGATAAAAAATTTTTTGATTTATCAGATATGGATACGGATTCAGATTTGTCAGATTTGGATACGAATTCAGATTCAGATTTGTCAGATTCAGATTTTTCAGATACAGATTGAATTGGATTTATCTCAAATCTGATCTAATCTGATTCATGCGAAACACTAATGACATAGATCTTTTTTTTCCTAATAATAAAAAATAATCTTTAGATTTAATTTGAATTAGTAATCAAAATCTTTAATTTTGATTTTCATATAGTAAGAATTTTCATTTAATTTTTAATTTATTAATTAATAATCTTATAGTAACATCATAATGTTATATAAAGGTTAATCATGAGTGAGTCGCAGGTATTTACTATCAAAATCATATATATTATCGCAGGTGCGTCATAGGTAGAATTAAAAGATTACAAATAAGTAAGATTAATTTTAAGTTCAGTAGTTAATTTATTACATTAATAAGTAATATTAATTTAATTATTAATTAATTAGTTAAAATAATACATTACATAAGTATAAAAAAACATTATTTAATAAATGCATTTTCTTTAAGATTTGATTTTTATATTTTTTTCAAAAAGAATCCAAATTTTTTGAAAAAAATTAAAATACTTTTAAATTCAAAATTATTCAAAATTTTTTTAATTCTTCAAAAATGTTTATTTGGAACGACGATGAAGTAAAAATGTTAATTGATAAAAGAAAGGAAAATAATGCTCAATATCATGCACTTGGTGGTAGCATTTGTAAAAGAGCATAGTGGACTTCACTTGCAGAAAGAATCAATCAAATATTTAGAACGAATTTTTCAGAAAGGTAGGCAAGTGAAAAATTTTACAGAATCATAAAAGATTACAACATAAATATATAAAATTATATAATATACTGTCATTATCTTTTCAAATATCAGTTAATTTGATATAATTTTTGATAAAAAATTGAACAATTTCTTGCTGATGATCCCAAGGGAAAACAAACTAGAAATAGTACTATGTATCATGAGAAATTTAGAAACTGTTTTTAGATCAAACCAGGTAAATGTTATTTTTTTTCTTATTTTGAATCTTATTAATAAATTTAATTTAATTATATTAATATTTTCAGTTATTTATAGATCCAGACGACAATAATATCAACAACTTCAACAGCAGCAACAGTAGCTACAACAATAATTATAACAACAGCAACAGCAGCAGCTTCTACAAATTCAAGAGCAGCAGCTATAACAACAACTTCAATAGCAGCAATAACTAGCATAACAACGTTAATAGCAATAGTTGATACAAATAGCTGAATCACTTTTGTCTTTAGGTGATTCTAATAATGAAGGAAAAGAAGAAAAGGAAGTAGGTGCAAGCCAATCAAGTTAGAAAACTAATCATAATGATGAGTGAAGGTGGGTTTAATGAGTTAAAAAATATTTACTATATTTAAACATATATATAATTTTAATCCTTTTATGTTTTACTTTATAGTTATTAAATTACTTTTAGATTTGTCGGGAAGGTGGGAGTTTTATATAATAATTACTTTTTGCAATTTGTAAAATTTTAAAATAAAGTCAATTGCTTTTATTATTTTTTTTTTGCTTATTAAATAAATTAATTCAAAACTATTTTTATCTTCTAAGCGTATAAATTATGAAATTATTTGTTTTATATAATTAATATTAAGATTATATGTAAATTAATTTATTTATGATTGATAAAATACCTGAGTATTGATCAATTTACTTGATTTGAAAATTGATTAATACCTGGGTTTTAACTTAAGAGCATTGTTTTGCATCTAATAAAATACCTGGGTATATTATCATAGTGGTATGATCAAAAAGAATCTCTTAGGCAGTGCTCTACAATAGTATTTTATCAGATTCAATCATTTTCCTTTTTATATGAATATAAACAATTTAAATCATTTTTTTTCATCAATTCAAAAAAAGATTAAAATTTTCAAATAGAAAGCTATCTAATATTTCTTATCATACTTTTAAAAAAATGGTTAGATCATCTCTTGCACTCATAGAGTAGGAAGTTATCTTAATTTCACACTGTTCATATTTAATAAAATAAGATCTAGCTTTATATCTACCTTCTATTTCTTCATCATCATGACCTAATTTGCATAATAGGCAGATGGTCTCTCTTATAATCCCGTATGATGTCTTATCATTAATCCATAACAATCAAAATTTTTACATCAGAAAGTTAAATGCATGTGAAACTGCACATCATTAAGTGTCATGTGTTGATCAACATCAAATCACATTGTGCTGCAAAGGTAACGCAAAAAAAAAATTAAAATACTAACATCAATCAATATGTAAAATAATGTATTATGTAGATCAATCAATAAAACAATATGTAAATTTATATGTATTATAGCATTTTTGTATTATATTATTATTTATTTATATAATGCAAATACAAATTAAGAAATTATTCAATTATCTTCATTATCATCGCTAGAATTATCACTTTTTTTATTATTATTATCGCTATCCGTATTTTCATAATATTCATTCGAATTATTACTCTTTTGATTAGATAAATCTTCTGATTGTTCTTTATCATTATATTCAAACTAAAATAAAAAATATTAATAAATATATTAAGTAAATATTAACATTAATTTTACAAAACCTACCAATTTTTATATAAATAGATTTGAATTCCATTGTTTTATACGCTACTGTATCTTTAATGCTGAAATTTCAGCTTGATTATACAATGAATCTAAAAACATTAAAATTACAGTTACACTAAATATAATGTTATCCTTATGTTATAATTCTTCTTTGCTGAATGTTTTTTATAAGATAGCTTCGATTATATAAGAAGAATTTGAATTATTATTATCAACTTTATTTTTGAAATTATTTCTTGCTTGTTTGACTCTTTCAGATTCTTTCCAAGATCTAAGTTCTTTAGAGCTAGCAAATTGACTAAGCTTATCAGAAAATAAATTTAAAAAGATACAAGTAGTATCTTTTAGTTTGTGAACACATGAACTTCCGAGATTTTGAAAGTATTCTAACGACTATATATAAAAATAATATCCTTAATTCATATGATTAATAAAAATTAAAAATGTCACAATTGTCATATATTACCCTAAATCATGTAATTAATAAAAACATACAATGGAATATCCAGCATTCCAAAAATTATTCCACCCATCCAAATTAGCAAGCTCTTGCATTTTCTGAGAATAGTTAGTTTGAACTTGTTGTTTAAAAGCTTGCTCAATATCCATATCCGATGGGTTTTTGTTTTTTTGAAATAATTGGTAACATGCTTTTGTCATAAGTGCCTAAAATAAATATAATAAAACAAATATAATAGAATTATTATAAATGACACACAAAAAACAATTATAATGCTTAAATACTTACATCCTACTATATATGTTTTGTATCTTTTCTCTTTAACTGTTATTTTGGCTGTTTTTCATTCATCATGATCAATGATCCTGATGCAAGTGTTATGAGAATATTTTTGATATTTTCTAAAAGCTTGCGATTTTCAGAAATTTCATATTGCAAAGTATCAATCATTATACTTGCTTTAACTGTTTTTCAAGTATTTTATCGAGAATAGATTGAGCATTTGCATCAAGTTTGAAACCTAAATAAAAGGAAATGTAATGTTAATTAAAATTACTTCATTTTAATAAATATAATGTTTTATTAAAAATATTTTACATTTCTTTGGTGAATCACTAAGATCATTTATCCTCTTACGCTTATTATTAGTTTCTTTTAAATCTTTTATTATGATATATTATTAATACAGATCAGAAAATTATAATTAAATAAATTTATAATATTCACATATGGATTGTAATGCCTATTGTGTTAATGTGAAAGTTGACCTGGATGTTGAAGTAGAAGCCACCTTGGACGTGAATACAGAAGCTGATCTAGATGTTGAAGTAGAAGCCACCTTAAACATGTATACAGAAGCTACCTTGGATGTTGAAGTAGAAGCTGCCTTAGACGTGAATACAGAAGCTATCTTAGTTGTTGATGTAGAAGCTACCTTGGATGTGAATAGAGTTTCAGATGATATATTTTTTGTCATTAACACTCTTTTTTATTTTACAATTTGCTGTTAAAATTGTTAGCATCAAATAATGCATTGAAAATTAGAAAAATAAAAAATCACACCTTTTT